ACTCTTCCCCAGTACCCCATGTATCGCATTGTTCATTAAAGCACCAATACTCCCTGCTGTTTACAGTCATTCCTGGACGGGCAAATTTCCTTTGGCTGGTTATCCTTGACTTTGGAAGGGCAGCCAAGGCCACTGCTGATAAAGGAGGAATTTTAATGCAACTTACACATACAGGTAAGTCCAAATTTTCTGCAAGGTCTAAGTCAGCCAGAAAAAAAACTTAGAGGTAATTCTGGTCACCTCCATAGCTGATGCTAGAGAACTTCCTTATATTCCCACCTCGATGTTTTTGATCAAGAACAGCATTTACACTTTCATGCTCATCTCTTTATAATTAAACTAATGCCATGCTAGGCTGATGAATGCTTTCAGTTCTAGGAGTTCATTCACGTTTCCCCAAAAGGAGGCGAGAAACAACAAACCAGAACACGTTAAATTAGATCAACGTTCCTTTTTGGTTTAGAAATCTCCAGCAGCAGAAGCAAGGTATTCCAACAGTTAATTAACCTCACTCAAAAATTTGCAGCTTGTTTCCAGCCAAAGTTTTTCTACTGTACCTTCTGGCTACTGCAGCTCATTATTCCATTCCTGGCTAGACTAAAAAGCCCTCTATTATTACACTTCTGCTGCTCCTGTCAGCAGAGACAAACATCTACAACTTTCACTTTGATAAAAGCGTTTTCCATTATACAGTGCGTTTTCCAGTCCCTTCACCATTTTCATGGCTCTCCTATAAACCCTCTCCAATTTTCAGCGTACGATCTGCTACCATTTTATCAATGCAAGTTTGTTGCTGGGAAAAGCCTTCCCTTTATTTCAGCTACTCATTCATGTTCTCTCTCTTTCTGCCAATTTTAGAGTGCGTGTGATGACCCTGAAAAACAAATTTGATTAGATGAAAGCTAACATGGTGTAAAAGAGAGAGGAAAAAAAATTAAAATCTAACAATGCTCCCTCACTTCCCCCAGTAGGAATTTGCATAGACAAGTATCACATAGACCCCATACTGCACAGCTGTAAGGAAAAAGAGTAAACAGGGTCCAGAACAGAAAACATCCTCTGTATGTCTCCGGAGGAAGCTTCATGTCAGATATTGTCAGCCAAGCTCCAGAACATCAATGAAAAAGCAACGAACTAATAAATTTTTAACACCTCACTGTATTTGACAGCTTATGAGACTCCATGTACTTTTCACGTGCCAAAAACAGGAATCTGCAGGAGTTTGTCCATGCTAACCTAATGCTAAAGGAGAGCTGGGAAGGCCACTGTATGCCTAATGATGCCTCCAATGCAATTTAAAGGAGAAGAGGAAAACAAAACAGATGAAAGGACTACACCATTCTTATGAAACAGAAGAGATGAGATTAAGAATATTTTCCTGTTCTTGGAATTCAAGCACCAGTTGAAACTCTAGGTGCCTGGCCAGACAAATCATATTCAAAGCTTGAAAAAGTTCAGCTCTCCAGGGTTAAGCAGGGATGATTCAGAAAAAGAAAAGTTAAAGATACTTAGCTGGAATTACAGGAGCAAGAGAAAAAAGAAACAAGTAAACAACAAAATTCCAAAGTAAAAACCTGAAGCAGTCTTAGAAGGTTCAGCAATTTCCAGCATTTCCATAATTAGTTTTAACTAGCTCTGGCTGCAGCCCGCTAACAACAGTCTCCTTTCTTTTTCCTCTGGGATATCTCACTGCCAAGGTTCCCCTTTTCCCAGCCTTTCCTTGCTTCCCATTGCTACCTCTCTTCACACAGAGTTCAACCTGGCCAACCCACGTCTGCACATAGACTAGGGTGGTCTTCCATCTCCAACCCCTCCACCCTCAGCCATCGTTCGGGCACATTTAGGAACGGTGTTTCCACTTACGCAGGAACTTCGCTGATTAACTTTTCTGAGGGCTGAATTCTAACTACCAACCGCCCATCATCCTAAATACCAAGGGGTGGTAGACCCTCAGATGAAAATCTTCCAGCAGTGCTACCTGAAGGAACAGCCAAAAACCTACATGAACAGTTCAATTTTCAGCAATGTGAAACAGCCTAATTCTAAATGAAGGCAGGTGCCATGGGAATTTCAACGCCTTAGAAACCTGGCCACCTATATCTACGTATAAACGTGGATCTTAATGCTTTACACTAAGCAAAAATACTAGCTGCTAGTTGGCTCATTCCCTGCAAAGCAATCTCTTGATTTTACATTGCTTTAAGATCCGGCCATGAGGAAAGCCTTAAAAGCTCATCACGTGCCATCACCTCAGCAACCAGCCGTAATTTACAGCATACATCCTTCCCCCACAAGTTTGGAAGTAACGGCCTAGCACCAAAAGGCTTTTATCACCAGCAAAGAGACTTCAGTTAAAGCCCACCATACTAGCTGCCCACTGTCATATATCAGAGACTTTGACACAGTGACCTGTCCAAACCGTAAGATATCTTCCAGGTGCCGGTAACACAGCACATCAGCAGGACACAGAAAAATCCCTGGATAATTCATATAACATTGCAGTAAGCTAAAATCTTCTTGAAAATTATTTCAACATAGGTGGACAAAGTGTCCACTTAAATTTGTGCAGAAAGAATATTTTTAGTCTCCTTGTTCAGTCGTCTTAACACCAGCTTTTCTGTGCAGTACACTCCTACAATGACCTAAACCAGCCAGTATGCCACCATGTATCACTAAGGGGAGAGGAAAAAAATAAAAACAAAAAAAATCTCCACAATTTCCATAGTATCTACAGGAGCTATACAAATGAAGAATCTGACTGGTTATAACAATTCAGTTTTACTCTCATTAATCTTTTTCTTCTATTTTAGGTCAGTTATAATAATAAAAAAAAAAATCAGTCATTCTGGATAGGTGGGTTCATTTCAGTACTTTTATACTAACTCATGAGCTCCTAAGTTCTGGTCACAAGGCTTCATCACTCTCGCTGCCGCCCACCCCTTCACAATGGTTCCAACTTGTGCTCTTCCTCTCCTCTGACCTCCTCCTCCAGCAGCCCCCCAAACTAGTAAGCCTGTATGACTCCATCCGGAGCCAAGGAGAAGTCTCAGCACCATGTTCCCAGTTCTGGCACGGCACAGGAAACCGGCATTAGCCATACCCAGAGCCAGCAAACCTTACCAGCTCACATGCAAGGCAACTGGGAACCAGTGCCAAGTGGCACTGGCACACAAACTGGCTCCAGGCCAGAAACAGATCCACCGAACTTCACCATCTGTTCCCCTGTGCCCAGCAGATCTTGATCCAAGTTCTTTAAACCTTGTTGCAGGTGGTTCCCTTCCCTCTGTGTCTTGGCAAAGCTTCCAGCAACGCAGGGTCAGAAAATATTCCAGATGTCAAAACTGCAGCGTGACAAACATTTTCCATTCACAAATAAATCTTAACCACCAAGTTTAAGCTGAACTGCTCACAGGAACATCCAGTTTAACACTCACTACCCCAGCAGGTAAACAGATTCTGGGACTGATTTGTACTCTGCTACCTAGCAGCTATAGAAACAAATACTATTCCAAGTATTTCAGTGGCTGGCTGAGAACAGACCGAGCAGATAAAGCAGCAGGCGCTCAGCGAGAGCCGGACCCTGCACAGCTACACACATATGCTTCAGAGAAACACGTATTCTGAGCAGCCTGAACAGGTACTTCACCAAAATCTCTTTGCAAACTGCTCCAGCAACAGTTATGACTGAAATGTATCTAATCAAATATGTATGCCAGCAGACAGACATTTTGAAACACTAAGACAAGAATCCTCTGTTTCCAGTAAGTAAATGATCTCAGGTTATCAAATCCAGTGCTCTACGCAGAGAGCGCCTGAGGGAAGGGTCAGTTCTTCCACTTCCCTCTTCTGGGCCACAACATCTCAGAACTTCAGCAGCGTGTCATCTGTCCCCTTGCTGATGAGGACATTTAGCAGGGAGCAGCAGGCATGCCCATAAGCAGGTTGTCACTAGGAACTGTGGAATTTCAGTGAGCTACTCTGCATCTACATCTCTCATTACTGGACAAAGCTTCTGAAGAAGCCAAACTGACCAAGGCAGCAGGGTTTTGTTATTCTTCCCAAAACACAAAAGTTGAAAAGCACATTAAAAATTCAACAACACAATATCAGGTATAAATTCCCAAAGAGAGCAAGACAGTAGAACAATCACTGTCCTCATTCTTATTGTATTCTCCACATGCATTTATATACGCATGCATGTACATATTGATAACAGTCATCCACTGTCTCAGCCATTAAACACAAAGCTTAACATCAGGGCATGCAGTGTGGGCCATTTCATGGTAACACGTAGCTTAAGTTTCTGTGTTTGCCTGTCTCACAATGACATTTGTATATCCTAACTGTTCAAAATTGGTCTGTTCTATTGAATTTGGTTAAGTGACATCATATGTATGTTTCCTGAATTATCACAAATTAAAGCTTCTGAGGTCTATTCAGTAGTCAGAACAGATTAGTTTTTAACCTATGGAAATTTCAAAAACCATTTCTGCTGCAAGTAGAGAACACGCAGACAGTCTCTCACCAGTGAGACTGTCCACTCACAGTGGAAAATATAGAGGCTTGAACTTGGGACTCGATGTGAATACTGTCTTCTATTTCTTTTGGTTGCTGTCAATTTAAAGGAGTTCAGGATGCATGAAACTTGGATTTCTTAAAAGTCAAACAGTGAAACACCACCTAGTTTAAAACCAACCATCACAGCTTTCAGCAGTTTCACAAAACTACTAGAAAACCGTTCTCTCAGCTTGAGGAATTAATAATCAATTCTGAACATAGCACTTCATGTCTTCAGTACGGTTGTACGATTTGTCATCTGCATGTGAAAAGCCTGGAAGGTGAGCAGCATAACCATGGGTGGAAATGGTTACCCAAGGAACACTTAGACATCAACACAGAAGGTGCACACAGACTCATTAGGCACAAAGCACAGACAAGCCAGCAGATGAAACTAAAAATCACTCTCCTAGCATAAGCTGAGCGCAGCTTCAAGGTCTTACCCCTGCTAGGCATCAACAGGCGCTTCTTCATGTTGCCTGATAGAGCACAAGTGAACAGAAAAGAGAAAAACATCACATCAGCAACCTGAACAGCAGCAGTTTAAAAAGTTCTTAATGTTAAAACACAAACAATAAGATATCAAATGTTTCTAATTATATTTTGGATAAGCCACATGTAAAGTTAAAGGTAAAAAATGAGAAAGATTCTCTGTATCTCCCTCCCTGCTCAGAGTCACCATTAAACTAACTGTTCCTTTCCCCTGTTAAGGAGAGCTACCCTCCACGCTCTCGCTCCAGTTAAGACCATTTGAACAGACCCTTTTATCCTCATCTGAGAAAGAGACTGCACTTTCTCTTCCACTCTCAGGCAAGAGCAACTCTTCAGAACAGAGCCCTGGAGTCCGTGCCAGGAACATCCTGCGTCTATCTCCCACTTCAAACACCTTCCCCTTGCCTTTTATTCTTGAGGAGATGAAGCCCAAACTCCACTGTACAGAGGTGCTCAGTGACAGGGCCAACAAAAGCGAATGCTCTAGTTCTGCGCAAGGCAGGAGCAGGTTTACGCCACGCCAGAGCTGGCACGTCTGCCTCCCTCAGCTAAGCAGCTGCCTGCCTCTCTCAATGGCACGCAACCTCCGGTAGCTTTGCTGAACGCCAGGTGATCCACACGTTACAAAGCCACCTGGGAACTGCACAGCTACAACCTACAGGTTGAAAAAGGTGTAAACTTCAACAGAAAAACGAAACATCACCGGAAAAAGCTATTAAGGTTTTCTTCATACTACTAATTTAAAAATTGAAGGGAAGTTTCTCCTTCACTATCCCATTTGCAAGGCTGGTCAAGCTAGGCAGAGTTCCACTAGCACAGCAGCTTGATGTGCATGCACCACCCAGGCAGAACACATCATGTGTCTCACCCAGAAGGAGAAATGGGACAAGTGACCTTTACAAAAGGAAAAAATTAACCTCCCTCAAGAATAAGAAATTTGGAATTTATATAAAGGACTATAGTTTTAAATAATCTCCTTGTATACCGAAAGGACAGAAGAAAAAGCCTATATAGACAATATACATTTTGCAGAAAAATATTTACCATCCATTCCATTGTGTTGTTCATAACTTCTTTTTCCCAGGATAGTTGGGGACCCATTATTAATGACAGGCGTAAACTTAGCAGGAGTCAGATTGTTGAGAGAACTGGACAAGCTCTTTGCAGGATCTGGTTTCGGAGGACACGGATGAGACTCTGTTGTAAAACAGCAAGGTAGGGTTTTTTTTTTATTAGTGAAGAGACTGGAATTACGAATCTGAAAACAACCTGCAAACTGCCAAGGTGACCAAGTATACCTCCCCTTATATACAAACTATCTCAGTCAATAATTTTGACTGGAGATCGCTATTTATATAAAGCATTTTAAGTATATTTAGGAATTCACCTCTACTGAAGATGTTAAAACCAATGACACAATATCATCCTAAAATAAGACTTGATAACAAAAGCACTTTGTATCTATTTCCAAAACACTATTCTCCAACAATGTGCTATCATTTCAGGGGTGCTCTGCAGTAAGAGCCATCTTTTGGCAGTCATGCAACACCCCTAAACTCTGGGGAAATTACAACTTCGCCAGTTTTGCAAGGTTTGTAAAAAATACAAATTCTAAACCTGCCAAACAAGTGAGGATTCAAAGCACCACCATAAAGAACACACAAGAGACTGAATTCAAACTTTTGGCCAAGGCAGAGATCAAGCACACACTGTTCAACTGAAAAGATTTTGAGAAAGTTACAAGCAACAGTAAACGGGAGCTTCAATTGAGGTTTTTCTCTCGCAGCCCCAACAGCCAAGTAACACATAACTTAAAGCACGCTGAGCACGACACCTCCAAAAATACATTCTTGCCAGTCCATCAGCCTCCCTCCGTTTCTTTCACTTCCTTCTCCCAGCTCGATAGTCAAACGAACACCCTGACACAGCGCTAATGAAATCTCAAAATCTACTGCTACATTCTGTGCAACTATTCAAAGCAGGATTTTATTAAGCAGCAAAACTTTTCCCTTTATTGGCTTTATTTGGTTGCACTATACATATCCAAAGGTTTCTCAGTCTGTGTATCTCATTAGTATACAGTAGAAGTACAACACTCAACAGAGAAGCAGTAAATATTTAATAAACCCCGAGCTTTATAATATTTAATCAACAAAAATGTTCAAAAGAAACATAAAAATCAACTCCAGTGTTTCTTATCAGAGTAAAAAGGCAATCAATTTCCTTGTTAATCTGGAAGCCTTCAAAGTACCACTCTCCAAGCTAGCTTTCTGGGGTTAGACTCATGTTAGACTGCTGTAGCAACCTGAGACATGTCTTCAGGGTATCTCTAGCAACTGGCAACACTAGGGAAAACAATTTTGCATTCATTTGGAGTCAGAGCTGGCATGTCATGTAGCTGGCCTCTTCCAGCACCTAAAACTTACACCAAGGTCCTGGACAGAGCTACTCAGTACTCCCCCACAGATCAGCTGATGAGGGCCAAGTCCTCAAGAAAACCATGAAAAAAAAACCAAAACACCCCCCCAAAAAACAACAAAAAACCCAAAACAAATCAGAAAACACCACCACACAAGAATGTAAAGAATGGAAATGTAGTCCCCTGGTCTAACTCCAGCACAGAACAGCCAGCAACTGATTCACAAGCTGTGGGACACAGTGCTGTCCTAAACCTGAGAGGCTTCTTGGAGGACTCAACCGTAGGAACCGCCTCCAGACAGCTCAAAAACTAGAACAATGGGACTGACCAATTGTTCCCAAAACATTATGCTCATGCCTCCGTTAGCAGATGGTAACTTGTCCCCACATACATTGGAGGCCACAGCAAACACATCCCTCCCTTCACTTGAAAAGTTTTGGTACAGCTCAGTGAGCCCACAGTGGACTGCTGAGCCACTAGGTCTGTCAAATTAAGCAGGAAAAGGAAAAAGCACAAGTTCATGGGAAGGTTTTAATGTTTTGGTTTTTTTTAATTCAGAACCAGCATCTAAATCCAGAACCAAATGGAAAAAGAAATGGCTGGCAGAATTAGCTAGTAGGGTTTTTTGTTTGGTTGGGGGATTTTGTTTTTCGTGGTGTTGGGATTTGTGGATTTTTTTTTTTTAATACCTAAATACCGGAGGACTGCTTCTAAAGGCTTTCGAACCACTTGCTTTAATAGCAATGGGTTTTCTGATGCCTCAGGTAAACGTGCTGTGCCTGTAAAACAAAGAAAAATAATTAGAGGGTAAAGACATTTAGATATTATAGTAAAACTAAATAACTCAAGTGTCCCAGAAGAGCTTTCCAATCAAAAGGAATTTTACACGTTGCAAGCATGTCTTGGCAACAGGACACAAATGCAGGAGAATGTTAAATGTAATAGCAAACATGAATATTTTAAAACCAACAACAACTCATGAATGGAAGTTATTTGACTAGCCTGCAATCAGTTAGAACACTCTGCAAGTATAGCCAGATTTTGTGAAACCACTAGCTACGAGCAAGAGAGCGTCTCAAGAAGTTGCAACTCAAAATTTTACAGGAAAGGAATCTCAAAGGGTTCCTTTGCAAGTAGATGCCCAGCTGCATCACCACTCACATTCTGCTTTGATTGCTGCGCTGTTAATAGGCAAATAGGGATGTCTCGCAGCATGCCAAGGGCGCAAGATATCTCGACATAAACGTCTGGCAATTCTTGTCAGTTTTGTTGTATGGAGATAGAAAGCTTGTCGTGTCTTCATAGCAAACTTGGGACTCCCACTGTTTCGTACTGGTACACCATGAGGGCTCTAGGAAGAAAGAAAAATAAATATGGTTTCTGAAAAGTAATTATTAGAAAGTATGATCTTGGAGAAAGAATATCATATAAAATCACTTTCAACTACTGATTCACAGACGTAAGAACAGAAACAGTATTACAGATGAACACGTTTTCAGCCCAGCTAGTCCCCATTTCCCAAGTCTTACCCATCAACATTTCGAATTTTCTTCCAAAATATCTCGAAGGATTAAAACAAAGATAAACATCTTCACAGGCAAGTATTTATTTCTGTGCTGTCCCAAGTTTTAAAGCAGGGATCCAAAAGCCAGACCCAAGGAAGTTACCTGATGCTATCACATGATTTAGTGCTTACAGAGCCAACAGAAAGACTCTCAAACTTTGGGTGTTTAGAGTTGCTCTGGATATACACTGCAAACTCCTTATTAAAAAAGCATTTGTAAGAGGGAGAGGAAAATCAGAAAGTAGCTGTATGGCTAAAATATACATCACAAACTCAATTCCCGAAGCAAACTTAGAGCATGCAAGAATGTTTTTGTCTCAAAGTTGCAATAATTTCTGTTTTAGTTCTTACTCTGAACTCAATGAATGCGTTTACAGAGTTGTCAAATATTCACCGCATGTAATAAAGAATAATACTGAAAGACGTTTATCTACTACAGAAAGCAAAAGCAGTATTTCTTCATGAAAAGCAACTAAGTCAACCAATAAAATAATGAAAGTAGTATCTTGTTATCTCAAACCTGCCCATGGTTGGAAAATAGGAGGAAATTTCAGTTTGGGGAGAACAAGGCTTTCCCCTCTCTGACTATTTACATACTTTTTAATTAACAAACATGAGGTACAAGGCTGATAACACCTGGCAGTTATCTCGGCAATTAGGTAGCTTCAGAGGGCAAACAGAAGCCTGGAAAGGACAGAGGTTAAACAAAAGAAATAGAGTAGAAAGGGAATGATAGCAAAGACTAGGAGAGAGGAAAGAAATTAATCTAAGACCAAAGTTCAGTGTGCACTATCCTTCTGTCCCTGTGATGCAGCTACTTTTTCCAATTAGCTCAATGCAGATGCTTCCAGACTGAACTTCCACCAAATTCAGAAAAATTCTGAGAATTTGGGGTTTTAAGTAAAAGGGGAAAAATTAAACAGAAAAAGCTCATACAATGCTTATGCAAAACCTATCCCGAAGAAAGGAGGATTAATTAAAAAAAAATAGGATGAAGTAGAAAAACAAGATAGGGGATCTCTAAAAAGCCACTAGCTATTTGGGGTACCTAACTTTGAATGGGCCTTGGGAAAGGGAACAGGTTTCAGGAAATAATGAATTCCTTTATGGAAAAAAAAGTCCTCATCCCCCTACAGCAAAAATCATGGAAACCAAATAACAGAAACACTGGCTGGCATTTCAGTTTTTTCCACCTTCATTAAGTTATCCCATGCATTTGATTGTTAGTTTGCCAAACAAATGATGGTTTTTTTTTTTTTGCTCAGGGCAGTACTTGGCAACAAATTACTTATAGCTGAAGTTAACACGCCAACTTTTGCAAGACATGAAATACCAAACCTAAGGACAACAACGGAGGCTGAAGGCATTCTTTTTATTGTTAAATATTTAAGAACAGTGAACAATTAGTTAGATATCATGGCACCTAGCTTTCCAGGCAAGAGCACCGAGAAGTCTGCTTTGCAGATACCTACCAAATTATTGCGGTTTGGTCCTGGTCTCTCCCCATCTAACCGTGTTGGCATTTTCAAGCCACCGTATTTCTTCCAGTACGTCCAACAGGATGCACAGAGGCGACACTGCATGTTAGGGGGACCCCAAGAATACCACTGGTAAGACTGTGTGGCTAGAGATAACAAAGGTGGAAATTATATATATCCTTAAACAGGATGACTTTTCAGAGCTTATTCTCTTTAGAACCATCACAAAAGAAAACCGTCACAAAAGAAAACCCACACAAAGACAGTGCAAAGCTCAAACAGACCTTAAAAACCTAACGATGGCTTCACTGTCATCACCACTGTTAAATGTACTTGCGATTTCAGCTGAAATAATTAGACTTATAAACCCCTTTTAAAACATGAACAGAAAAAAACAACTAGTAGGATGGGAAAATTTCCTGCCAATGAAACTGAAAGCTCTCATTTTGCACGACTGGTAGACAACAATTTCTGCAGAGCATGGGAGAGAGAGAGAGGGAAGACTGTCTTCAGGAACTCCCCATACATTAATTTTATGACTAAAGAACATAAGAAATCTGTGACTTGACTTCTCATATAGTCCTACATTCCGGCATCTCTAAAGGCTCCCCATAAAGGGGCACAATCATTAGAACTCAGTATATTAATATCAGGCAGCAGACGGAATATAATCACATCACATATTTTGAAATCTACTAAAAAATTATTAAAAAATTGTCAAGTTCACACCTTGGTGATTTAAGTCTTTGCTCAACACCTACCTGCAATTACATAGGACATTTATTAACTCCCCCTTTAGTATTTAGTAATTTTATTTACAAATGTAACACTGGTAAACCAAAAAAAACCCTTTTCTTAAATGCTATGTTGAATTCTGTTCCCCCACCCTTCTAAAGCTGCCTCTCCCACCACAACACAGCTTTTATTTCACTGTTTGCAACACAGCATTCACGCTCTCTATGCACAACTGCCATACTGGCACGTCACTTACTATAACAGCTTTCACAGGCCCGTCCTGCTCCCGTGTTCTGTGCCTGTACTCCAGTACCATTTACCACTCCTGGTTTGACATTATTTACATTGATCTGGTTGGGGTTTGGCTTGTTACTTAAAACACAAAGCAAAAAGGAGGACAAACATTAATTGAGGCATGCGATTTCCTATGTGACTTAAAAAAACATGGCCCAAAATGTTTGACGATTTAAATTTTGTTCATCATGTGGCTTCCAGAACAAGCCGTACTTACCAGCAATCTGACTTCCATGAACACAGTCTCCGATAATATTTAAATAATGCTGATAATAAAAGTAACTATAATAATAGTTAGATGCTATTTTCAAGAGTCCAAACCCATTTAAAAACAATAAACCAGTGAGGCCAGGTAGGTATCTTATTCACTTTCCCAGACATTCTAATCTAGGTGGCAAAAAGATCTTATCTACAGATCTCTCTCAGTCCTCAACATGAACAATATTTTATTTAAATCTCCAAAAAAAAGCCTGAGCGAAGGAGCAGTAGAGGTAAATGGAGACAGGCCAACGCCTGCCTTATTCAGGGAAAGATAACCCTAGACTGCCGTCACAAGTATTTCCACGTTGTCTTACTGCAAAGGTTTGAATCATGTAGCCACAATTCACACCAGCACACCCAACATATTGAACGAAATCTTTGTACGTAGTGTATATACAAAGATATTAATGAATATGAGCCTTCTGGCAAGTCTTAAACTATGGTCTGCGCTTCTACGAAGAAGCGTTTAGGTTTCTACTAAATGGAAAAAGTCTGAAAAGTTAACATCCGCAGAGCACGAAACACGTTGATGGCTGTCACTAATACATTCTAATATAACGATGTCTGAATCACCTCAGCTCATCCCTATACTCTCTTAAAAATGCTGAATCGGGGGCGGGGGGGGGGGGGGCGAAAGTGGCGGGGAGAAGAAC